TGTATTTTTATTTAATTTTAATTTTTTATTTTTCTCTTAATATTTTGAGTATATTTTTTTCAACAAATCTCTTAGTTTAATCTTTGTATTTTTGGTAATAGAATCTTTGGCAACATATTGCTGCAACAAGCTCTCTGCTTTCACAGCCCCCTTCCAATGTCCCTCTTTCTCTCTCTCTCCCTCTCTCACTCACAGCTCGCGCTGCCCAACCATCGTGCTCAGCAACAAACTGTTGAGCGCTCATTTGGTGAGTCGGCGCAGTGGCGCCACACTTCAACAGTTGCTTGTCCGCTGGCCCCAACCAACTGAGGCCACCCACTGACCCACTGCGCTGCCCAGCCCGCCTCCCACTCCACATATCGGCTGCTGCCAGTCAGCGTGAGTTGCACATCAAATCGAATCGCGCCATGAAACAATCAAAATGTCAATTAAAATATGCAACAACAGCAAACGCAATTGCGAGAAATGCAGCTAACGAAAAATATTGCGTTGCCTTCACGATTTTCTGATTCAGATCCATTAGGCCGCGCGCTCTTAAGAGTCCTCGCCGGACTCAGGTGCGTGTGGCCAAAGGTGCGAAATAAAAATGTAAAGTTTGTTTTGTGCAAGTGTGTGTGTGTGTGTGTGTCCTGCGGCTGCTGCTGCAACAATATTTGTGGCACTCACGAGTGCCTTTACTTCCGCATGAATCATTTGCCACGGTGCGTATAAATTCTTTGTTTTTACCATTTTATTTTGCTGCCATTGTTGTTGCCTTTGTTGCCTTTGGTACTTCACACTTGTGGGCCGCATTCGCTGCGTCCTGCGTGTCCTGTAGCATTTTTTTTTATGAGCTGTTGCCATCATCGCCTGCCGCCTAATGGGCTCTATTGGCATTTCGTTGGCGGCTTCTGACAATGGAATTCCCAGCATTTTATGGGCACATTTTTTGCGCCGCACTGGCGCATGTTAGAGAATCAGCATAGATTATATCCAGTGTCAGTCGGTCGGKCGTTAATTATGATAAATGTGCTGCTAATAAACCTGATGTCAAGTGTCAGGCTGTCATAAGGGCCCATCGCCCAGCCTGGCGAGACGGGCGTGTTAATGCATTTTCTTGTTGGGGAAACTCTGCTAATGGCTTTTCCTGTACGGCTCGCCATTAGCACGGCAAATGCCGTTAGTTGCTTAACGTGCTGTTGTTGTTGCTGCTGTTGTTATTGCTGCTGTTGCTGTCGCCTGACATTGTTCCGGCTGCAGCTGCGAACGTGTTCAGGTATTAAGGCACTGACTGCGCCGCACAAGTAGTCAATCGATGAGTCAGTTGACCGGCGCACGTGTCCATAGCCTGAATGCCAGTTGATGTCAAGCTGTGAGCAAGTGAATGCACACACACACACTTACACTCTCATCTATGTGTGTGTGCATCTAGGCCATAACACTTTAGTCAATGCTAGTTGCATTAACGCTTATTCAATCAACGTTTAACGCAAATTGCCCCTTAAACTGAGCCTCCACTGCCTCTCTGTGTAAATATGCGAATTATGGCAATATAATTTGATTGGGCCCTAAGCGTGCCTGATAAA